GAATAAAGGCAGGACTCTTGGGTCAGACGGTGTCTTCATTATGACAGTGAAGGAGCTCGGGCAATTTCACCCCAAAATATGACTCCTTGGTGTAAAGAGTATTTTTAATTAAAGGCCCTTGGAGATCAACAGGCCTTTGGAAGGGACCTTCCTTCTATCTGCATAAACCAGACTAACCCATCAAAAAGAACAATTAACTTCCCTTTCCCTTCCCCATTATCTCAATATATTGCAGGGAAAAAAAATCAAGAATGCAACCAGACCTGGCTCAAATCATTTAAAAATATAATACCTGTCTCTCAAGTTTCATTTAATTTGTGAAGAGAATCATTTACAAGTCAACCTGTTTCCCTGATCCATTCATCCTCCCTAGCAACCATCTACTGCCCCTAAACAGAATTACCTGTGTTCCTCATCTCCCCACTCCCCTCTAAAAGAAGTGTGTAAACATATCTGGATCCCATTGGGATATTGGGTAACTACTCTGTGATTCTACCCATGTGCATAGTAAATAAACCTCTTCCTCCTATTAATCTGCCTTAACTGTGAGTTGCTCTTTCAGTGAACTTTGAGGGGAAGGGGGAAGTCTCCCCTCACCCCCACAACTGCCACACACTGGCATCCAGGCACAGATATGGCATGAGCTGTCTGTAGAAATTTTCCCCCAAAGTTACCAAGCCTACATTATGGGCTTGGAGATTGCTGAGGGTCTCTTTAGGCAAAACTTAACTTAATATTTGGCTTCTTAAAGATGGCCCAGGAGAAATCAGAGTACTACACAGAGCCCCCTTCTGCTCCCTGGGAGCGAAATACTCTCAGGTCATATCTTAGCAGGCTTGCTTTTGACCCCTTGATTTCTTTTATTTGAAGTCTTTTGGATGAGAGAGACAGATGCTCCCTCAGTTTGTGAAAATAAGAAAGGTTTGATGTTGGAATACACCTGGATCAGGTAAGGGAGATGGAGATGTCCAGTGTTTATGTGATTCATGGCCAGTGGGATGAGTAAAGAAAAGATGTGCCTTAAAAGAGAAAGGCTGTGCCCTCCCCTCCCCTCCCCTTTTTCCTTGTCCCTTTCCATGTGGACACAGGCAACAAACTAAGGTAGCAGAGCAAGTTGGGGAAGAAGCCTGGATCCCTAATATGTGGAGCTGCAGTGGTGAGAGAGAGAGAGAGAGAGAGAGAGAGAGAGAGAGAGAGAGAGAGAGAGGATTCCTGTTAGATGTTGTCAATATCTTGTAGTCTTGTCAATATCTTGTAAATATCTGTAGTCAATATCTTGTCAATTGCAGATACCAATTTAGAAAGGATACACCCGAGAATCTGTGAATCTATCCTTATTAAAAAGAAAAGTTTTATCTCATTTTTAGAAATGGAGCCATGACATTCATACAAAAGTGCAAAATCAAAAGCAGACTGGAGTTTGCTGAAATCTTCCATATCTATGAAACGATCATTCAGTTCAAGAGGGAGAGATGGGATGAGCAAACTGCTGCCCACAGACTGAAAATCCAGCCTGTTTTTGTAAATAAAGTTTTCGTAGAACACAGTCATGTTTGTTTACACATCGTCATCTGCTTCATTTGCACTACCAAGTAGTGGCAACAGACACTTCGTGCCTGGGAAGCCTAAAATACTTATTATCTGGTCCTTAACAGAAAAAGTTTATCGACCTCTGTTATAGAGCATTCTGGAGCACACCAGAAGGCTCCCTCATGGCATATAAATGAACTTTATCCATCAAATCTTGGAATTTGGAAGCAAGAATTATTATAAGAAGAGGAATACACAAAGACCATCACATTTGCCATACAGGGTGGAACCCTCTGCTGATTTTCTCCTTGGCTTACAGGATAGATTTTGTAGCCTCTGTTGATTTTCTCCATCTCTTTGGAGCAATCAAGCGTCTAACAGTATTAGCTTGTCAACAAGTAGCCTGCCAATGCATTGCAGAGCTTCTATTTTTAAAATTGTCTCACAAGAGTGACTAAGAATTACATACAAATGAACAGGAATGAAGAGGGAAACAGATTCCCTAGGCAGCTGCAGTCTTTCCTTTGGTCTGTAATTTTGTAACGAGATCCAACTGTGGCTCGGTTCATACATTCCTCTGTTTAGGGTATTTGATCTTCCAGGACATGAAAAATAAGAAGGGAGGCTGAGATTTCGTGAGTTTGCCTTGGCCCCATCTCTTATATTTTTCCTATTCATTTGACCTTACAGCATCCATCGCATGATTTTTTTGTGCCTTTTGAGCTTTCTTCACCTTCAGTCTGTTCCTTGAGTTACATGTAAGTTCTCTAAGATGTCTGCCCTCTTGACAATACTAGGAAAGAGCCAAATAAATCAACCCAACAGCTCAATTGCACCTCTTTTTTTGCCTAGGCAAGAACATGCACACACCCACAATAAATCACCACTGCCCAAGAGGGGCATGACCCAGAATAACAAGAAGCTTGGCCCTCTTTCCAGAACACTTCGAGGACATTAGACACGTTGGAATGGCAAGACAGCTCCCCTTAGATAGATGGCAGAGGACGGGTACTCTCCTCGATCACAAAGGCCTGGAACAGATGCCTCAAATTCTGAAGCATTTTATCCTGTGCACCACCCCATTTATCCAAATACAGACAACTGGAGGGCCACCGTGATAGCGGAGAGGACAGCCTGGACACACAGGCAGAACCAAGACCACACCCAACTCACAAAGATGGCCTCTTCCAAAGGTTTCTGTACATATTTTAAGAACTCCAAAAGCACGCTTATATTGGAAACAATGATTTAATGGGTGGTAGGTGCTCAGCCTAATTCTCCAGTCTATTCATTCTGGTCCCAAGCTACAATGCTCAAGCCAGAATAAAATAATGGTGTTTCCTGATGTCTCAGAAACTTGAAGAAACAAGACTTTCTTGGCTAGCCAGGGAAGCAAATGGCACTGAGTGCCACTGTTTTGATAAACAATCAGTAAGATGTGAGCATGGGGGGCAGTGAGCTTCTTCCTCTCCCTCCCGGAAGCCACAGCCTTAGTCCTGGGCTGAGCAGGTGGAAAGTTTGAGGAAGGTGTGGATATGCGGGTTCCACAGAAGGGGAAGCTGGGGCGCAACCATACCCCTAGTGTTCTCTGGCCTGACTTCCAGCTGCCACTCTCTCAGCTCTGCCTGACGGCTGTCTTTGATGGTCCAAGCTTGCCCACCCACAGCAAGCAGGAAATGCCAGAAAATAACTCCACCCCAGAAGTAGTCCCCAGCTATGACTGACCTCCCTCAACCTTTAGGAGGAAAAAGTTTAGGCACACATTCTATAACGGTACCTCTGAGTTACCCAATTGGGTTGAGCTCCTATTGCCCGCCATAAAACCCACTTGACAAAGCTCTATTTATTGACTTCTTTCCCTTACCTATCTCATTTTCCCACTCCAAATCCAATGCTTCCTGGAAGCACCCCTCAACTAAGTGACTTGCATTCAAATCCATGGCACAGGGGCTTCTGAGGAAACACAAATCAAGGTGGGGGGGGGGGCTATGAAGGTGCCAGTCCTGAGGGGTGTGGGCAGATAGCCAACTCCACCATTATCCAGGCGTCTCTAGTCTTCACACATGAACCTACATCCCCACCCCTCTCAGCAAGGGTCTTCCAACCCTTCAGTGCCACTTGGCAGAGCACTGAACTGCAGTAACTAAAGCAGGAAGCCATTTAAGAAACGTGCTTGACTAGATTTTGTGAATAAGGTAGTGGGACTAAATAGAACCCACGACTGTTACTTTTTGGCAATTACACAATGCACTAGAAATGCAAATCAGGTGCAATAAATTATTGGAGTTGCCTAGTTACTCTCACCCAGTTAAGGAGTTCTAACACCACTTTTTAATTTTCTCTCTTTCTTCCCCTGCCCTTTTTTTAAAAGGCAGCGTCTCTCTATGTTGCCCAGGTTGCTCTTGAACTCCTGGGCTCCAGTGATCCTGCACTTGGCGCCTCTCTTTCTCTCTTTCTCTCTCTCTCTCTCTCTCTCTCTCTCTCTCTCTCTCTCTCTCTCTCTCTCTCTCTCTTTCAGACAAGGAAGCCATACTATTCTTGCTTCAACAAGAGAAATGCCAGTTCCCTCCATGGCCCTCATTCAGGTATTAGGGGTTTGTCAGCTGTGATGAGCATTTTTATGCACTCCACTTCTCAGCTCCCCTCCTACCTCCAAATCTGTGCTCTACCATTCCTGTGTGACCTTGGACAAGTTACTTAAACTCTCTCTGCCTCAATTTCCCCATCTGTACATCAGGGGTAGTAATCATACCTTCTTCATAGGGTAGTTGCACTATACACAAATGAGTGTATAGTGCTTAGCACGGGGTTTGGTGGATAATAAGCCCTTGATAAATGTTACCAGTTGTTATTACAAACTCTATGCTTACTTCTTTCTCCTCAAGATGGAACTCGTTCTCGACATTTCCATTCTCTTTAGTGGAAGCTCTCTCCTCTCCTGACAATAGGTAGGTTTGCCCTAGGTCCTTTCCCCACCATGACCACCCTCAGGACATAAATAATGCCGAGAAACATTCAGAATAGAGAAGCCACATTCTGGGCTACTCAGAAAACCCTTTGAAGCCCCTGCCAGTGGAAGTAAAGCCACTCCCTCCTTTTTCCTGCAACGTTCCAGTTTCTTATGAGTAACTTCTGCTTGGTGGACACGCATGCATATGTACACACATCCATATAACAGTAATTCGCAAAAACTAGGGAGCCTCAGTCCACTATAGGACAATTGAATTTGGTTCTTTCACCCACAATGGAAATGGCAACATATTCTACTACTATACCGAAAGTGGGTTCTCTGTTCTCATCCTCCTGCTTCTAGACCATTGATAAAGGCATCTTAGTACCAAGGACACAGAGCCTATATATAGCAGTGCCACTTCAAACAGCAGAGGCATTTACCTTTAATTTCTGCTTTCCAAAATTAATTATACAAAGGCTTGCCACAAGATTTGAATCAAATGCTCTTCTTTACCTTGGACCAGAAAAAAATTCATAGGCTGGCTTCCACCCCCTTCTGGTTTCTGTAAAGGAAAGGAAAAAGTACAGAGATTTATTTTCCCTTTGTCCAGAGCAAAGAGCAGTGTTGGCTCTTCCAGTTATATTCGGTCAACACATGTTAATTGGGCACCTATACTATGTAAATGCTGGGCAATGAATGGGAATCACAAATATATAAATCTGGTCCTATCTCTAACTAGATTATAATCCCATCTAGAGGGAGGAAAATGCTGAAGAGGAACAAAGGGAGAAAAAGGGTGGTGACCTGACCATCACTTTGTACCAGCTGATGAGTAATCGATTTTGGGTAGCAACGTTTAAAATATGGTTTGGAAAAAAGTTGAAGATTGGGGCAAGCCTAGTATATGTTAACAATCCATTCAGAGCTTAGAATTCATCTTAGCTATGGTTTCCAAAAAACATCTAATATGTTATGGACTTTTCCTTTACATACTTCTTTAGTCTGTATGTACCTAATAAGGTCTACAGTATACACGTACATCCTAGATAGATCGTCTACGCTGCCCTACAATTCCTCCAAGTCCCTGATCTGCTTGTTAACTGCCATCCAGAATTTGAACCAGTTTGAGGCAAAAAGTTTTTAAGAAAGGCTAGTGTTTTTAGGAAAACATTTTGAGGTAAGAGGTGGAATAGACAATTCTCACTTAGGACATTGCCACCACCCTGGCACATTTGTCACTAGTTAGCAGATGCTGTCAATATAAGGAAGAGAATGCCAAGCAGTCCACGGGGAGAGAATGCTGCCAGAAAGCATTTCTCATGTGGTGTCTCTCCGAGTTAAAGAAGGGTTTTTTTTTTTTTATTTTTTTGAAAAACATGTCATATTTTATTAAGATATTGTGTTGCATTAAAATACATTGCAGAAGAATGTAGTACCATTTACCTTGTCTGGCTCTAATGTGTTAGAACAAGCCAAGCACATCCTTTGAGTACCTACCTCTTCCTCCCTCTCCCCACATGTCATTTGCAAATGAATCGTATACCTAACATTTGCTTTGTGCAAGTAAATTTTAAACCCAGGAAATAGCACAGTATATTTCAGTATATTATAGCAATACGCTTCAAGTTTAATGAGCTTTGGATCTCATATATTAATAGCAATTTGGAAGTTTCTTCAAACTTATAAAAATGAGATTCTACCCAAGTTTATAGGCAGGTACAATAATATTTGGAATGTAACCATGTCATATATCCGATAGGCTTTTTTTTTTCCTGTATGTAAAGCAAACTGGCTATGTAATAAGCCTTTAAAGAAAGGTTTTAAATGAATGGTGATAAATATTAATGCACACTCTGCTCCGATTGGTAAGTTTCACCACTAAACCCATAAGTTGAAAGGCATTTGGGCCAAAACACATAATCCTCTCCACCTTGGGGGCAAGAGGCACCAAAGCAATTCTCATGTTTCCCCAGGCAGGAAGGCAGGATACTTTCCAAAAAAGGTTGTGGCTTTTCTGTTTCCTTGGCTCCCTTCACACATAGCCCAGCCATGACCACATGCGTGACAGGCAGGAACCTATCGCCTTATTAGGGAATTCTGTAGCCCTCTTTGTGGGGAGGAGGGCAGACTGAAAGTTCAGATAGAAACCACAATAGCTCACAAAAATAAAGGGAATCGGACAAAGGAAGTAGGCATTTTATCTAGAATAAATATTAAAAAACCCGCCTGATCTAAGGAATAAATCTTTCCATATCCATGGCTTTTTAAAGGTCTCCTAGGAAAATATTTAGAATCTTCCATTTTTCTGTAAGAATTCCTCCTATTCTCCTTCTAGCCATAATGCTGACTGGCTACATTCCCCAGCTGCTGCAGGGACAGACAGCTATTCTGTTGGGGGGAAAAGTGTGTGGGTTACATTCACCCATGACTCTTTAAACTCATGTTTCTCAAGTATCCCTCTTCTGAGCCCAGCATGTGCTCTGTGACATTCATTACCCCATGCTGACAGCAGGAACAGTGTCAGCCTTAAACAAGGAGATTGCACAATGAGAAATGGAGGCTAAGGGTGTGACTGCTCTGCATTTTACAGCTTCCTGTCTGCTTTCCCTTAGGGGGGAGATGATTGAGGGGCTGGACCCAACACAAATCTCAACCACCCATTTAGGCCTCCACAGAGAATGAAGCAAGACTTCTAGCCCTTTCCGGAGCAGGAACACCGAAAGCTGTACAGAAAACAATGCATTCCTCTGCTCAGGTATTCCTTGTTGGGCTCAAGGCTGCTGCCAGCAACCACTCGTTTTATTCGGTGGTTTTCCAACTAGAAGGTCATCCAGCTCGGAGAGAAAAGGAAAGTGGCCCAAGAGAGGGACAGGATGAAACAGTAATGGGTGTGTCATCTCAAACTGGAACGTGTATCCATTGTCAACCCCCAGAAACCCAGAAAAACAAAATCCTTCCTCTGGGTAGCGAGGCTGTCAACAGCATAATAGAGGGAAGAGCGCCATCTGCTGTCGTCTATGATTCATTTCAAAGGGAATGTTCAAGCTCCGTGGAAGACATTTAAGAAACATCGTGCTCATGAAATAGGGAAGCCAACTTGGGATTTCGACTGTTTTAACCAGGCTGTGTTCTGTATCAGATGAGAGAGACTTAAGGGGAGGCACAGGCTGCCGTCACAATTCCATCGCACGTGGCCGCTGAGACAAAACAGGCTTGGGAGGAGGGCCTGTGAGCTTTTATGTGCAGGACAGTTTACCTGGAAATAAAACCATTTCTTGCTATCAGGGTCCTCCTTGGGTGGCAACATACTCTGGCCAGCATTTCCATTTACTTTCTTGTCCTTTCCCAGGAAACCAGTTTGGGCTCGTTATTACATTCCTCAGTTTGTTTCTTTGGGAAAGAAAAACAAATGCAGTTCTCACATTGGGAAGTGAAAGGCAATGGCTTTGCTTACAAGTATTGCATGAAGATAAGAATTTAAAATAAGTAAATATGAGTGCTTGAGACTCCGATGAAAGATTAGTTATATAATTTGATGTGTTTTCCTAGGAATGTGTGAATTAACTGAGATATACGATAATTGACCCAGACATTCACCTTAATCCAAATGCAATCTATTTAATACAAGGCAAACTTAATCACAGTTATAATTAATATTTTGCAGATGGAAATGACTGCAAATGAAAGGCTACGAACAGCATCCATGTTAATGCTTCAATATTTGCTCTCTCTCCCTAGTTTTCAATTTCCAAGGTGATTCTTTTTTCCCATATTTTAGGAGGCTCCCAGAAATTATACATCACAGTACAAGTTTCTTTCACCTGTTTGAGAAAACGCAGCTACTTGAAATTCCACAAATGGTCTTTCAAGGAGAGGGAGAAATGGCTGAGGGGTTGGGGGGCAGTCTTTCCTCATCGTCTTCATCGTCTACAAATGTCACACCTTGTACTTTCTAAGATGTTTTGCTACATAGTCTCTTTATAGTTGAATCCATCCCACTCTCAAGGGTCATAGTTGGAGTATTTACATACTTAGATTTTTCTAAACATTTCTGATTTCAAATATGTATCACTCGAAGCCATTTGGACTCAAGTAAATAATTCAACTTGCTCCAAATAAGACTTATCTGCTCATGTAAATCAACATTAAGGTCAGAAGTGTAGCTAGACCTCAGAGAAAACAGGAACCAAGAACCTGAATTTTATCAAAGTTTTCTCCATTTTTCATCAGTGCTAATTTCATTCTCTTTTTTCTTGACATTGACCTTTCCCATGAGAAAGAAACCATGGTTGCTGACCACTCTTGGGTTCACTTTTCGCCATCTCCACCTTCCAAAGGAAAGAGGGCACCTTCTCTTAAATTCTATTTTTAAAATCCCAAGGAAAGTTTCTGATTGCCCCTGCCTGGGTCATGAGTTCACATATGTGGCCAGGGTGAGTGAGGTATTAAGATGGATAATCAGAAGAAAGTGGAACCGGGTGGGCAAAATAACAGAGTTTTTCTTAATTGGGGTTTGCTTGTGTGTCAGGCACTGCACTAAGCATTTTTTCATTTTTTTATGCATAATTTCCTTTAATTTCCAGAGCAACCCTACAAGGTAGTTATTATTAGATTCTGGGATTGAGGTTCAGAGAGGTTTAGGAACTTGTTTAAAATTACACAGCTGGTAAGTTACAGAACTAAACCCAGAGCATTTTGATTCCAGAGCACCCCTCCCCCATCGACTACTATCCTATATTTGATCCCATTTGATTATGTGTGTTGATTTTTGCTTCAGAAAAATTAGTCCCTGGAATTCTGGTCAAGGCTACCTGTAAGCTATTTGTACTCAAATACTGAATATAAAAATTTTCTTTTTGGATCAAGGACAAATAAACTATGATCCATATTTTCTTCAGTATAAGAGCTGAATTTTGTTCAGTTTTGTCTTCCTTTTAACATCTCATCTAATGCCTTGGATATAGTAGTTGCCAAGTAAAAATGAGTTGTAGGGGATAGTGACAGGCCTTCTAACTACAACTCAAAGTGCAAATATAATAAAAGAAAAGATGGATAAATTTGACTACCTAAAAATTAAAATATTTTTTGTACAGTAAAAAGCAATGTAAGCAAGATCAAAAGACAAGTGGCAAGCTGGAAGAAACTATTTGCAAGCTATCTTATAGCTAAGAAGTTAACATACCCGCCATGCAAACAACTTTTTGCAGTTGAGTTTAAAACGATCAAATATGCAACAGAAAATGTTCAAAAGACATGAACAGACAAGTCACAAAAAAAGATGTAAAAATGGCACCTTATATTCAGGTATAAAAGAGAACCTGCTTCTCCTGTAGTCTTTCCTCATCTTGGCAATTTTCAGCTTCTAGTTGTTTAGACCAAAAACTTTTGCTTTTCAAGTTTCAATATCCCCTTCTTGATAAACTGTAAGAAAAATATTTTTACATCAACATTTGTCTCAGAGGCCCTCTTCTCAGACACCTCAGGTTTGGAGGAAATAGGAAGAAGATCTGAGGATGGGTAGATAACACCTACCCCAGTCCAAATGGTGGGACTTTCAACGCTGTATAGCTCGTACCCCTCACAAATACCATGATGTCTTAATAAATTAGTTATTAGTTAAAGCCCACGCTAGAAACTCCCCATTCATTTCTTGGTGATATTTGTAGAGCCAGAAGCACAATTAGGTAGTGATAGAGGCCACACTCACCCTCGCCTTCCATTCACTGGCTCTTGGTCACATGGCCACACTGCAAAGGAGGCTGGGAGTTGTAGTCTGGTCTTGTACCCAGGAGAAGAAGGAAAATGGCTTGCTGAACAACTAGCCAGACTCTGCCACCTTGGTGGTAAATACAAAGAACGACTTCCCTTTTACTACTATGAATCTGTTATTATTAGATACTAAGATGGATTCTTTATACTTTTCACATTATGTTGATTTGATTTTTGTAAGATGAATTAAATGGATAACCTACAGGAAACTCCTGATAGTGTAGGAAACCTATTAAGTAGACTATGAATGCCAAACTTCTAGTAACCTCACACTAAAGTTGTATCAAGACATTTCTCAAAAATATTCCAAGGATGGCAACGAAGAGACTCAAGAAGGTAGGCTGGTGCCTCCTTGAGGAATAAAATTAAGTGTTGCTGAAGCAATTCTCAAGTGCTAGCTGATAACAACTGCATACCAGCTGTTCTCATTTTATAACAGTTTTCCATAAAGTCCCAGATTTTAACTTTCATTATTTTTTATCCTCTTCCCTCTACAAAGGAATTTGTATATTCAATCTTTATGATGGCTCAAAAGTGAGCAAAGTAAAAAGAAGGGATGCTAAGACTGGGGAAAAAATAAGAAGTAAAAAAAGAAAAATCATGGGCATTCGGAAGTGGCAGGTAGTACTTGTCCTTTCTAAAGAAACACTGAACTCCAACCGGAGCTGGGGGCAGGAGTGATGATGACATAGTTCATATCACTTTGCCATTGGCCATTTTCTCTCCTTGATCTTCCGCTATGGTCTTTTCAAATTGCATTCATTTATTCTGCATGTTCTTGACTCTGCTGGGAAGCCTTAAATCAGAGCTGATTTAATCGGTCTACCCGGGTGGGGAGGGCATGGGGTTTTAGGCATCAGTATTATTCAAAACCTCCCCAGTTTTGAACAGTTGGTATTGTTCAAAGATTCTCATGCACATGAGAAGTGAGACCCACTGATTTCCTCTCTGCATTGCTATTTGGTTGACCCATTTGGGGTACTTGACCATACTACCTCAGATGAAATTGACTCAAATGAAATTGAAAGTTAATTCATTTAAAACATGTGAAGAAAAAAAAAAAAACACCAGTAATCCCTCACTTACCCAGGGCATAGTTAAAATTGTGATATGCACTAAAAACAATCTCTGGGTAGCCAAAAATAGTGATCACAAAATCCCTACCCTGAAGTTCATCTGATTTCTTCTCACAGGGAGTTCTGAAGACCAGGATGTTTCTGAATAATCCGCTTTCCTCGGTTATGTCTTTGAACGGCTTTGTAGAAAGTAGAGACAGAGGCCGGGTGCGGTGGCTCACGCCTGTAATCCTAGTACTGTGGGAGGCCGAGGCGGGCGGATTGCTCAAGGTCAGGAGTTCAAAACCAGCCTGAGCAAGATCGAGATCCCTGTCTCTACTATAAATAGAAAGAAATTAATTGGCCAACATATATAGAAAAAAATTAGCTGGGCATGGTGGCGCATGCCTGTAGTCCCAGCTACTTGGGAGGCTGAGGCAGTAGGATTGCTTGAGCCCAGGAGTTTGAGGTTGCTGTGAGCTAGGCTGATGCTACGGCACTCACTCTAGCCTGGGCAACAAAGCCAGACTCTGTATCAAAAGAAATAATAAAAGAAAGTAGAGGCAGAACTCATCACCAATTTAAACGCTTAGGTACCTGATCAAGCAGACCATTTGGGACTCTCCTGGCCTTGTCAGTACAACTTTGCTGGTTCTTCACAAATACAAGCAGAACAGGTGTCACCTGAGTTGGAATGAGTGTCCTGCCATTGTTTGTGAAGGCTGTTTTGCAATGAACCCAGATGTTAGGCAGATTGCACTAGACTTCCAATCAATCTACTGAACAACATTCACACGGGCCACGCTTTCTCAGCCTGACACTGGGGCTGGAGGCACTCCTTGCTGTAGGAGCTATACTACGTGTTGTGAGATGTTTGGCAGCATCCTTGATCTCTACTCACCATGATGCAGTAGCATCCTCATCCCCTGGTTGTGACAACTAAAATGTCTCCAGACATTGCCGAATCCCCTTTGTGAGCAAAAATCATTCCTGGTGAGAACCACTAAAATAGATCATCTTAGTTTGTCAACTAAAAAAGAAAAAAAAAGAAAAACAAACCGGTGCTGTTATTTTGCAATTTCTCAGTTTCAAAAGAATCAGTTGAGAAGGGCTTCCTTCCAAAATTCTTTTCAACGTCTGCTTTCTGCAAGTCTCTTGTGCTTTCATCATGCCATGCAGACAGCAAAGAAGGGAGCATTGCTCTGGACAGCAGTTCTCACCGAGGCCACTTTGCTCCCCGGGATATTTGGCAATGTCTGGGAGACATTTTTGTTTGTCAATAGCAGGTGAACTGGCATTTAGTAGGTGGAGGCCAGGCTGCTGCCCAACATCCTACAGTGCACGGGACAGTCCCCACATGCACAGAAAGAATTGTTGGGACTACGATATCAATAGTGCTGAGTTGAGGGAAACTTGATCAAAAACAACCTATCCACAAAGTTCCAAAGTGAAGAACCATCTGGAGGACTTAATAATATATGTTAATGGTTCTCAACTGGGGTGATTTTTGCCTCCCAGGGACATTTGGCAATGTCAGCAGGATACTTTTCCTTATACAATTGGGAGGGTGGCTGCTAGCATTCATGGCTAGAGGCAGGCTGCTGTAAACCTCCTACGGTGCACCAAACGGACTCCCAACAAAAGAAGATCAGATCCCAGACAGCAATAGTGCCAAGTGGAGAGCCCTGCCCTAGCACCGCTTCCATGGTGGCCATGGTTTCCAGTGCTTTTGACTCTTGCTTTGGTCTCAACCTTTGCATCTGCCTCGTGCTGCCAATCCAGTTTGGGATGTCTAACCTGATAACTTTGGCCAGCAATATAGTGGTAAGAAGGAAGGTTGGCACAGAACCCGGCTAGAACAAGATCAATAGCAGGTGCAGGCAGTTCATATCAAAGGTTCAGCCAGGGAAGGGGCAAAGCAAGCACATCATAATTCAAATGGACAATCAGCACAAATGGCCCTGCGAAAGACACTTTGTCTGCCAGGCTCGGGAACAGAGTAGCTGGGAATCTGGGGCAGTAAAGACTTTCACTATAAACAGGCTATTTCTGTAAAGTCCAGCAATGAGTAAGGCAGCCCCAGCGCAAGTGGTTGGGCAGGGCTAGATCCGGGGTGGGACCTTGCAGGAGTAAGTCAGGACCTGAGAGAGGAGGGCACATGGTACTCGCAAGCCAGGGAATGTGAGAGGGGACTGAAGCACAACTACAAATCAGGGCAGATGGGGAGGCTGGCTCATTTGGGTAAGGGTGATGGGTATTCATTAGCAAAGTGGAGATGCCCTAGGGGAGGGGATGTGTGCCAGGGAACAAACCCTCTTGTCCCACCTAGGCAACCAGACATGCACCTTGGAGCTGAAAATAGGATCACTGAATCTGCACAAAGAGCAACTTCCTTCCTAACACCATCACAACCGCACACACACGTATGCGTACGAACATGTGTACACATGCACACCGCTCCCCCTCTAAATCTACTATGGGATCACTAAGACAGTTCTTGCTGTATCAGGACTAGTCGGCAGGCCAGGGTCATGTGGAAGCAAAAGTTGTTCAGTGAACAAAGCAGAAGCAAAATAGTTAGCCAAAACTGTAATCTGATTTTTTTGTATTTTTCTTTTTGAATAGCATTAGCTTTATTTTTTAAGCCATGGTTTTAAAAATTTATATAACATGCATTCCTTATAGAAATATGGAACTTACAGAAGAACAAAAAGAAGAGAAAAAATGACCCACATCCCCATAATATCCATGAATACTGTCTATTATGCCTCTATATATTCTTTAATCTTTTTCCTTGTGAAGATTTGATTTCATTTATACAGAGAGAATATTTTCTGTCTGTCACTTTGTATCCTTACATTATGACAAATCATTTCCCTTGCTATTACAACTCTACGTGAATAAGTTTCGTGCCATTTTTGCTTTTGTCTAAAGTCCAACCCATTCTCACTGTGGAAAATTTGGAAAATACAGAAAAGTGTTTTTAAAAGTAGGTATCCTAATATAATCACTTTAAAGAGTTTGGTGGGTTTTTTCCAGTCCTTTTTTTGCTTTGATGGCACTTTTATTCAATAGTCATTAACTGATATTCACTTATAGCTTACTTGACATATGGCAATAATCCAGGCAAATAGCAGATCCTTCCAATTTTTCTGTAGCCAGTGCCTTGTCTCATTTGAATCCATAAGAAAATGTTAACTTTTTCTTCACATGGATCTAGATTTATACACTCACTTTGGACTCCTCCAGGTAATAAACCTACCACCCAAGAAGAGTGGTTGCCTGCCTTTCCCTACATACCTCAATTCTTGCAACCATACTGTCCTCCTCTTCTGGATGGCAATGTTCTGCAATATGTTAGTTTGGTGGTATGGATAAGATAATTGAAAATGCATGTGAATCTGGAGCTAGAATCTCATCAAGGATTTTGGTGACATAGTTTGCATAATCAACCCTTATTTTACATGAAAATACATTCAATGTGTCATCCATACACCAACAAAACTTTTCCCCAAGCGAACTTAATTTTGCCTCTAAACTCTTAGGAAAGGGGATTTTGTCAAAAGAACACAAGGGTTAGAACAATGATTTA